GACACAAAATCCAAGGTATCAAAATAGTTAACATTTTTAAAGGCACTGAAATTCTTGATAATAAAAATTTCTATCCTTTTCGTTCTTATAACATATAGACCTTTGTGCTAGAACATGCTGAAGTATACACAGGATGTCATCTAAAAAACCTATGTGTGATCATGGGTGTAGTCCCTTTCAATGGCCTCTTTGTTTTTTAAAAAAGCATAACAGAACATAATGATGTTAAACAGAGAAAATATATTTGTACGATAACAAGAATAATACCACATTATGGTTATCCTTCAAAGGATCAGCACTACCTTATCTTTGAATGAAGTAGTCACAGTCTTCCTCGTATTTCCATTTTGAAATCTCTGGCAGAGGTTAACAATCAACTAAAGTCTATGTAAAGCACAGAAATCACTGCTGCATATAAACACAAACTTAAACCTGTAACCCCTCCTTGGTAGGAAATTACTGGGGATTTTGGATTTTCTATGTTCCCTCTTATGAAACCAAATTATAGCTCATAAGGGTGGCCTGGGCAGCATTTCACTCAATATAATTTCTAGGTTGAGGTCATGCTCGCGTGTAACTGAAAACCATGAACCAGAAAGGCAGCTCATTCTGTGCCAGGGCCACGATCAAAGATGTTATCAGGGCTCAGGGAGTTGTCTCAATGCCACAGGATTCCACCTGGGGACTTGGGGCCAGTGGGCTGAGCGCAATACCTATGAGGCCCTCACTGAAAAGTACGTCCACTGAGACTCAAGCTCTGCAATTTGCATCTTGCCATCTTGCTTGATTCTACAACTATAACTGAACTAAGAGTAGTTGTACCGTCCTTATTAACCCTGCAACTGGAAGAAGGGACAACTCAACTTAGAGCCAATCCTTCAAATGCAGCCGCAGCCTCATCTACCCACCCACCAGCTCCTTTCCAGGCCACCTCCACGTCACTTTCTCTAGTCTCAGCAACAAATGTGCATATTTTAAAGTTCATGATTTCCTAGATGAGCTAGCCCTTTCCTTAAAAGTTAGAGCTCTCCTGTTAGGTGATACTGAATTGACTATGACTGACACAGTGACCCTAAGAGCAAGAGTTTAAAAACTCACCCTGTCCTGAGCCATCCTGTAGGATTCCTGCCATGTCTAAGACCACAGCTGCACTGTGACCACCCACCTCATTGAAAGTCTTCCTCTCCTGTGCTGATCCTCTGCTTTTCCCAGCATGATATCCTTTCCCAAGGACTGATCCTTCCTGACAACATGCCCAAAGCATGTGAGATGAAGTTTCACCAGCCTTGCCTCTAAGGAGAACCTTGATTGCACTTCCTCTACAAATGATCTGTTTGCTCTTTGGCAGCCGTGGGATAGTCAATATTCCCCAACAACTCTATTCACAAATACGGATTCTTTTTCTGTCTTCCTTACTCATTATCAAACTCTCAGATGCACAGGAAGCAACTGAACACACTGTGGCTTGAGTCAGACACACGTTAGTCTTTAAATGGTAAGCCCTGGTTTTCAGGCCTTTAAAGAGTTCTTTGACAGCAGCTTTATCCAGCACGACATCTTTTCAATTCTTGTTCAGAAATCAATTTTCTCTCTTGAAAAATAATATTTTATGAAAATCATAGAGTAGAAAGTTTAAACAATGAACCCCACAGAAGAATTCCTGCTATTACGGATCGTTATTAGCTGTCATAGAGTTGTGATGACTGTTACAGACTTCAGAACCAAACACAGACCAGTCCAGTACCACCACCAGGATCAGCTGCACATAGGCCATTTTGATTTGGAAGTTTTTCATTGACTGAGTTTTGAAAATGGACCAATTGCTAGATTCTTTTTTCCTTGTTCATCTTAGACTGGAAGTTCTCTTGAAATGCATTCAGGATCAATCACTGCCACATCCACGCCTCTGCTGGCGGATGGCTGAGAGCGGTGCACGAGGTACACAGGCTGGGTAATTAGCCCATCTTCCCCATGGAAGGCAGGAACTCTATCACCAAGCCACCAAAACCTCTAGCCCTTAACAAAGTAAAAGATTCAGGGGTGGGGGGGTAGTTAGAATATTTGAGGCTAAATGTCAAGAAAGATTCTCACCACTGGACCAATTGGCAGCATCAGGATGGATGGTGAAGAGATTGAGATTGTTCAGTTTTAGTTTGCTTGGCTCCACAGTCAACACTCTAGGCACCAGCAGCCAGGAAATTAAAAGGCACATTGCCATGGGAAAGTCTGCTGTTAGGGACCTCTCCAAAGTACTGAAGAGCAATGGTGTCTCTCTGGAGACTAAGGTGCATCTGATACAGGCCCTGGTCTTCACAATCACTTGTTATGCATCAGAGAGTTGGACAATGACCAAGGAGGATAGAAGGAGAATTGATGCCTTTGAGCTGTGGTGCTGGAGAAGAGTATTGAGAATACCATGGACTGCAAGGAAAACAAACAGATTCATCCTGAAAAGGGTTAAACTGGGCGGCTTCCTGGAGGCAAGGATTCTGAGGCTCCGTCTAACATACTTTGGTCATGTAAAGAGGGACTGGTCCTCGGAGAGGGACATCATGCTTGGTAGGGTGGAGGGACAGTGCAGAAGGGGATGAGGTGGATTGATTCAGTGACTGGGGTAATCGAGATGGGTGTGTGGGAGACAGTGCGATTGGCACAGGACAGAGCAGAGTTGGGGTTTTTTTTGTTTGTTTTTTAATTTTTATTTTTATTATTTTTGTGTGAGTGTACCGTCAAATCAGATCTGACTGGTACAGGAGGAGATTGTCCCTCCTTCCCCGGCAGAGCATCTGGTGGATTCGAACTGTGCGCCTCTGGGATTGTAGTTGCAGCTCCTTGCCACTAGACCACCAGAGCTCCCCGACAGAGCAGAGTTTAGGGCTGTTGTACATATAGGGTCGCTATGAGTCACAAGTGACTCGACGGTACATAACAACAACACATACTGAAAAGGGACATCATGTTTGGGAGGGTGGAGGGGCAGTGCAAGAGGGGAAGACCCTCTATGAGGTGGATTGATTAAAAGAGTGGGGTAATTGGGATGGGTGTGTCAAAGGCAGTGGATTGGCAAAGGATAGAGCAGGGTATGAGTCATAAGCGACTTATGGCACATAACAACAACAACATTGCACATAGGCCATTTTGATTCAGAAGGTTTTGACATTAGTAATTAAAAAAACAAGCTTTTGAGTCTGTTTACCCTCCTTTGTCTCCACCTCAGCACATGACAGAACATTTCATTTCGGCCAAAAGAAATGAAAAAGAGAGGTTTGCTCTTCCTCCCTTCACCACTATAACTAACTAACCTGGCGCTAACCTTAGAGGTATCACCCCCACTTCCAGGAACTTGCCTAACCAAGAACCAAAACTTCAGCCCAGTTTCCAGAGATTCTGATTCACAAGCATATCCAATTAAAAGCAAGCAACTCTAAAGTGATTTCTGAAGGAGCCCTAGTGGGGCGGGGTGTTGTGTGTTGGGCTGCCAACAGGCCGGCAGTTTGAAACCACCAGCTGCTCTGCAGAGAAAAGCTGAAGCAGTCTGCTCCTGTAAACATTCACTGCCTAGGAAGCACGCTGGAGGGTCGCCACGCATCCGAATCACCTTGACAGCAGTGGGTTTTGGCTGTGGATAATATTATTTTGATGAGTAACTCTAATTTATACCGTAAATGGCAGCAAATCACTAATTACATTCTGTATGTTGGTGATCACTGGATCTTCCATTTTTCAATCATTCTAAACACAGCAATCAGGGTGCTGTTGCCAACCTTTCTATATGCCTTTACCTCCTCTTATCAAGATGTAAAGAACCAATCTACATGGAAAACCTGTTGCTTTACTTCCTGTCCATTCTCTCACTTACTAAAAAAGATAAACTTATAATATAAAACCTTGAAAGAATTATTAGAAGACAGAAGCTCTCAAAAAATTTCACCTAATGATCCTCATTCATAAACCAATCCATGTAAACCAAATGATAATCTATTTCGCCATCCGGTCTTTATTGCCAGTGAAGGACCCAATGTGCTTCAAACCCTCAGTCATAGTGAAATCAAAACCATTACTATTACACAGACAGATAAAGTCCAAGTAGCAGGTGACTGTTTTAAAGAGGAACTCACCCAATTACTTATTATACAAACGAGAATACTTTTAGAACTTTCTTTTAAACCAAATTGTCTAAAATTTTTCTCAGCAATCTAATAATGCACCAGAAAAATCAACCTTTAAAACGAGTATCCCATAAGTGGTAAGTTTCAATATTTTATTAAAATAGCATATCCAACCGTTAACCAAGAATATGTTAACATTTTGTTTCCCCCCAGAACACGCAGCACGACACAGTAGTGATCCTGAACACCCTTAGTCATGAAAACCAATGCAAGTGTTTCAAAGACGAGTGTGAAACTAAAAAACTAGACCTTGGAGAAATTCTGACTTGAAAGGAACACAGAGCTCTCCGACAGAATTCTTCTACGAGCCTGAACAAATGCCGGTGTGCCACCCACCTGACAATACTGCTAAGTTTTTTCCTTTTTTAAAAATGCATAGTATAACGTCTCATTTATAAGTATCCACTTTTATAAATAAACTTGGCATTTTTTTCAATCCATTTAATGTGTCTTTTCAGCTTCACAAAGAAACCAGTAAATAAAACTGTCAACGACAGTCACAACATATGCTCTCACAGCAAGATAAAAAACTTGAAAATACGCAAAGATGCATCTACACTATTTTACATAAAAAGAGAGAGATTTAAAAAGTGCAAGGCAAAAATCTGCAGTTTTTGTTTTTTTCTTCTTTTTTTGGAGGGGAGTTTTTAGGCACATCCATTTCTTTAAAGCAAGCTTCAGAATGCAATTCCAGTTTGTTCTTCATGACACCTGTTTTAAGTCTTTCTTCAATAATAAAAATAATAATAATAATAATAATAATGAAAACAAACAAAAATACATCCCATGAAGTGTAGAACCAGGAGCTTCCTGTCCCAGGAAGTGAGGTTTTCAGTTATGACGTGTCCGTCCTTTTTTAATTCTTGCGGGTTTGGGTTTGGGGATATATTGATTGTTGGCCTGGTACTCAAGTTCTTTACGAAAGTAGTGAATTGCTTTATTTAAACCTTCTTCCAGTGGGACCTGTATAATGAAAATGAGAGTGAGAGACAAGGTCACAAGAACAGAAAGTCTGTCTTTAAAAAACCCCCACTACCAAGCAAGTAAGCAGTTGTTTGTCCTTGGCATTTCATTTCAGAAGGAAGCTGCTATGTTCTGAATCGCATCTTTCAAAACTATGTGCTGCAAATTCTAACTCTTCTGTGGATGGAATCCCACTTGGGACAGAGATTTCCTTGTTATGTTAATGAGGCCCACCAGTGCTGAGCGTGTCCTAAACCAATTCCTTCTGAGACAGAAACAAATTTGACAGGAGGCAAGGATGGTGAGAATTCATCTCACATACTTTGGACATGTTACGAAGGGGGCCAGTCTCTGGAGAAAGACAGTATGCTTAGTAAAACATGAGAATGAGCTGACACAGTGACTGTAACAACTGGCCAAAGCACGGCAGGGCTTGTGAGCATGGCACAGGATGTCTGTTGTGGTACACAGGGTCATGACGACTTGGATCTGACTCCAGTACCAACCAACACAAGGCACAGAAGAAAACAGACACACAAGGTCTTATGTGAATAACTGTGAACACCCTGAGGTGATGCAGGAAGGGTCAGGAGGAGGGGAAGGAGCAGAGGAGGCAAGGAAGAGGCAAGTCGGAGGGTGGGCCTAACATCGCCTGAGGGGCAGGAAGAAGCAGTCACACCTTTCAGTATCTTGTTAGGCCAGGAGCTGGGGTGTGATTTATTTAAAGAGCAACATGAAGGATGGTCCATTTTTCTCCCAGCCCTTGAGTTTCCCTTACAATCAACAGTGTTCCACCCAGGTGACTCACTGATGCAAGAAATGAGTCTTAGCAAGTTCCGTGAACAGGGAGCCCTGATCCACACCATGGCTCCTCTGAGTTCAGCAGGGTGGTCTGGAGACAGTCAGGGCCAACAAAGAACAGAGGCTCTGCATGCACCCTGCCCTCGACACTGCTGCCTCCAGTTCAGCCACCTGTGTGTGATTTCATTAACATAGAACCCATAATGGGTGAAAGCCAGTTTTCCCCAGTATATAAAAGACAAATGATACACAAAGAACCACTTAATGGCATTGTTGAAACTCTCACCTCAAATGTCTAAGTCCAACTCACACCACTGCCAACTGCTCCCACCAAAGACACAGAGTAAAGGGGCCGCGGCGATTTCCCACGGGTGGCTGTGACCCCACCTCACTCACCACAGGCTCCCATCCCAGCATTAGCTTTGCTTTCTTGATGTCAGGTTTTCTCTTTTGTGGGTCATCTTGAGCTTCAGAGAGAAACTGGATCTCACTTCCACTACCTGAATTGACACATAACAAACCATTTAGGACACAGAATTTTCCCATTCCTGGGTAAAATGAAAAATCTCATGAAGTCACTCAGCCCTCTCCCTGGAAGGGACCTCTCCCTGGAAGTCCAGGGACACATCTGTAAGGAACGCAGTCAAGGCTCACTGGCGTGCATGTGACCCAATTTTTATCTTGCCCCAACAGAGTTTGGTAAGGGGTATAAATCTTCTGCCTCTAAAGGCTGGGAGTTTATCTTTCAGTGAAATGAGAGGAACCGCCCAACCCCACTGTCTCAGAGGGAAGAACATTTACACTTAGCTAACAAGTGTCCGAAGGGAGCTATGCAGCTAACCCAAAGGCTGTGTCTCTCTGGCAGTTCAAATCTTCCAGCAGCTCCCAGGGAGTAAAAATGAGCGGCTCTCCCATGTGATTACAGCCTCAGGAGGCAGCAGAAGACCCAGTGGAGGGTGGGCAATGAGTCAGTTTTGACACAACAGCAATGAGAACAGACAGAAAAGTGTCCACTGGATACAAGTCCAAAGTAAACAGAAAATGGCTAAATGTGGTAAGACAGCTGCTATACCTGAACAGTCACTACCAACCACACCTCCTGGTGTTCTTGCTCTTGGGGAGTCTCACCCCCTGGAATCTAGGCTCACTTCTAACTTGTTTAACCAACAGAATGCAGGGACAATGACCTGCACCAGTCCTGATCGACACTTGGAAATGACCTGCACCAGTCCTGATCGACACTTGGAAAGACATGACCACTTGCTCTTACAGGGCAACATATCAGCTGTCCAGCCTCCCTGATGGAGAGACCAGATGGACAGTGAGAGAGAGGGAAGCCTGCCCTAGCATTCCTGCTGCGCCCAGACCCCAGCTGGCCTGCTGGCTGGATAAATCCACACCAGTGACCACCAGCACAACCTGGAGAAGAAACTTCCAGCAGACGTGCCAGCCCTGATCCGAGTCTCTAGCAAATCAAAGGATATTGTCTTAAGACCCTGTGGTCTGGAGACCTTGCTGTGTAGCAACATGGTGGTTATTGTGTTTCTCTTACGTTTTAAACTGACATCCTCAAATGCACACAGGCCACCTGAAGATGTGGGCAGAATGCAGATTTTGATTTCCCAGGCCTGGGGAGAGGCCTGAGAGCCCTTCTCACCTGCTCCCAGGTGATGCTAACGCTAGTATGTGAGCCTCACGCTGAGGAGAGAGGTGAGGCCACTCCCTCTTGCTCTCTGACTTCCAAGGTGTCACACCTCGGTGTCACACCCCAAGCCAACAAGCCCGTGTCTAGAAACCAAATCCCTTTCACCCTTGCAGAATGAGCTGACAGAATCATATCTCAAACTCCAGCAACATGTCTACTCTTGCCACTCTGCCCAGGTCTGCAATTATCCTGGAGAACAAAACCACCTTTCCCCATCACCATTATCTCTCCATTACTTAATTAAAGAATCAGGAAACAATTATGCGCTCTTGATAAAAAGTCCTGCTTTTATCCAATTCAATTAGCTCGTATTAATTACACATTTTCTAGTCAAGGTGTTAACGGCTGATAGGGTAAGTGCGTGCTGGATTCCATTCACAAAATGATGTCCTCTACTTACCAACAAGGTTTTTAATTAACTCAGCAAATTCTAGGATCGTGTGCTCTTCTGGGTTGCCCTGAGAAGAAAGGTTTCTGGTTATAAGTGTAATTGAAATAACAGTAGCGACATTTTATGTTTTCAAAGGTGTTTGACCCTGACATCATAAAAAGTCAGATTCTCTTGTCTACCTGTTATTCTGAGTATGAAGTTTCTTTGTGTTCTTAATCTTCAAGATGAAGTTGACTCAACCTGGCAATTACTATACTGTACCTACCTTAATATTTGTTCGTTAGACTAACTGTCCTTTTGAGAGAACAGACTTCTCTTAAGTGTAAGTATATTGACACTATATATTCACTGGTTTAATGATCAGGACCATTTCCATACTTAACGTAGCTGGAACTTTAGCTGGCACGTTGTATCCAAGTTTGAGTATGCAAAATTAGCTCTTTTAAGAAATGCATTTCCGTCTTGGAGCACTGTGTTACCCATTTTAGTTAATGCAAACTTGCAAAAACCTTGCACCTCAAAATCTTAAAAGAAATGCAATGCATTCAAAATGCGGGATAGCCAGAGAGAAGTACCCGATGCCTTTTATAAAGTGAGCTTCCTTTTTCTGTTGCACCTACCGTCTCGTTGTCTTCCTGTGGTTTGCTTGTTACTTTGATGCTGGAAGTTACACTACCAAGCATTTCAAATGCCAGGAGGGTCACCCATGGTGTACAAGTTTCAGTAGCACTTACATACTAAGAAAGGAGGAAAGAACTGGCAAATCTAATTTTAAAAATAAGCCAAGAGAAACTCTCTGGATCACAGGGTATTGTTTCAAATTTCAGCTCATTTACTTTGTACACATAGACTGGAGACTGCAATTAAGTGCAATCTGCAGAAGAGTGTCATACAGAGGAGAGTCGGCAGAACCCTCCTAAGATGGACAAAGGCAATGACTGCAATCATGGACTCAATTACATCAATGACCAAGATCATGGGGCAAGGCCAGGTATCCCTGTGCTATTGCACATGAGGTCTCATGAATGGGCTGACTCTGAAGTAACTAGTAGTAACTCTTATAAGAGCTGGAGGAAGTTTTAAAGGAAAACATTTTCTCCTTTTCTTTCTTCTGTTACATATTCTTTATCCTCTTCTCAATCTTGTTTCTCTTATTTGTACCCTTAACTCATCAGAAGGGAGCTCTGGTGACCTAGTGAGAAAGAGTTTCACTGCCAACTCAACAAACAGCAAGTGATTCAAACCAATCAGCTACTCCACAAGGGAAAGTTGGGCAATCTAATCTGATAGAGGGATGGTTATGTGTCAGTTCTCACTCGATGGCAAGGAATTGAGTTTCTGGCCCTTCCGAACGTCTAGTTTGTCAATTACTTTTCATTTTAATGATATCATGTTGGAATAGAATATTTTTATATTTACATTTATTATTATATTCAAACATTTCTTTCTTTTATATCATAATATGCTGTGCATCTCTAAGTATTCAACTACTTTATTCCTAATTTCATAGTTTAGTCTTAGTTTACCTGAAGGTGATGGTAAAAGAGGCAGGAAGGGGCCTAATCACATGGGTCTATTTATGAATTCAGAGGATAGGAATTTGGGGAAGACTGGGTCTGTCCCCATCCAACCTGCTGGCAGACACAAGCTGCACACCTCAAGAGAGATAGGTTTATAAAAGATGGGAGATTCCAAATATCCCTGAGCTATAAGACCCTTCAAAACGAGAAATGAAGAAATGTGTCTAAAGAAAACAGTAAGCTTGCTTAGGGAGGTCACTGTAAACGTACACATTTTTAAGACCATGGAGCAAAGATGGCTTGGGTCTTTAAAAAGCATCAGGTAGGCAAATGCTCAAAATGCACTGAGCCTCATAATACAGGTTTTGTTTGGTTCTCATATGTACATTTAAAAAACAAATTTCATTCAAAAGTCCATCAAAGCAAAACTGGGCTGACGTGTAGCATGAACCTGTGTATGCTCCCTAGGAAATATCTGATTGTTCCAGGATCCCTGTCTGTCTGCTTGGTAAGGATTTCCTGCCTTTTTTGGCGATAAATTATATCAAATGTGCTGCAGACTAATGAAGCTAAGTAAAGATTTTTAACTGAAGTGATTTGAAAACAGTGAGTAATATCTTACTTTCCCTTGAACCTATGTACCTCAAAACAGCAGAAGCAGCCGAGGTGGGTAAAGAGATGCTACTGAAATGAACTGCAAGGATTAGCCATCAAGTGGCGTAAGGTGGGGTATTTCTATAGAGACAATGGGTTCTTGTGTTGATTTGCCATTGAGAGAAGTAGAACAGTACAGTGAACCATATCTTTTGGAATCTTCAAATTTCAAGATACAGAATGCAATCACTCAGAAGACAGTGGCCAACAGGGAAAGGAAACCAAGATAACATCATCCCTGGCAGAAGCTAAAAAGACAATCCCTGGAGCTATTGCTTCAAAATCTTGGAACGCTACTGCACCATGACATCACAGAAGTGTCAGAGAAGCTCCCATTGTTTTCTCTCCTCGCTGAACAAATGAGACCAATGAGGCGGGTGTGCAGAGAGGAAGACCTTCAGTAAGGAGAGAGAGAGAGAGAGAGTGAGCGAATGAGAGCGCGTGCACAGAGAGCGTGAATGCACGCGAGAGCGAGCGAGAGAGCGAGTGAGTGCTTTCTACTCTGTGAGGTTCCCTGGTGACAGTGGTGGAGAGAGAATGGAGACTGTGGCATTGCAGGGAAGAGATTATGCACACCCATGAAGAAACTATGGCAAGGTGTTAATCTGGTTTGGGACTGCTGGATTAAACTTGGACTTGCATTGTCTGATATGCTTTGCCTCCCCCAACCTACTTCCCTAATAAAAGCCCACAACTATGGATAGAAAGAGGTGCATGAGCATGTATGGTGGTGTGTCTGACCAAGCAGCTGTGTGCTACTCTGTATACTATTGATGGGGATAGTTCCCCTTTATGAAGCGGGAAGAAGTCAGACTTGGCCTCCCCCATGTTTTATTGAGTCCATTTACACTGACCAAAGATGGAATCAAGAGTTTTGAGGAAAAGCAAGTACACCAGCACTAGAAGTGCTCAAAGCTGTGGTAGTCTTGTGATAAGAAATCACACTGTAAGCAAAAAGCACAGGGTTCGAGTCCACCAGCTGCTCTGAGGGAAAAAGATGGGCAATCTCTTCTTGTGTGATGCACAGCCTCTAAAAATCTGCTGAAGATCAGCTATTCGTCATTTCTAACTTGACAGCACAACACACACACACACACACACACACACACACTCTAAATCTTGTAAAACTTCTTGCACATTAACTAATGCAGTGTCAGAGATGAATACTCAAACAAATGTTTATCTCTAATAAGCTCTATGGCCATTTAGACATGGCCCTTTGAAGGGGAAGGAATTAGCTTAGTGTTTACGAGGCTTCCCATCAATATCATATAGGTATTTATTTGTACACTGGAGCTCTGGAAGCATAGCCTGTAGGACGTTGCACTGCTAACCCAAGGTCGTACCTCACTGGCCACTTGAATCCACTAGTGGCTCCCTGGGAGAAAGATGGACCATCTCCTACCATGTGATTTGCAGCCTCTGAAAACCTGCTGCAGGGGTGCTATGGGTTTATTCTAACTTGAAAGCTTTGAGAGGTTTTTTGAGAGTACTCAGCAACCAACACACACATGGTATAGTGCTGACGGGAACCAAGAAAAGCCTGGTGCTTGCAAGGTTTCCTACAAGGATCACATGTTCACGAGTTGTGGAGAGAGGGTAAGGAGATAAAGTACTCACCAGGTTGACAGGGCTGCTGACGTTGCTGTTCATCAGAGCTACAAGCCCATTCACAAGGTCACTGGAAAAGAAGGAAAGGACAGCTTAAGGCTATCTCCTTAACACACATCTGTGCTGAGCACCAAGCACTAGCCAAGAGAGGAGTTATCCACTCTCCCAGAAGACAAAAACCCAAATTCAAACCAGAAGGCCAACATACAGTCCTACTAGTTAAGATGGTGTGGTCAAGGCTAGAGAGTCTTTATGGATGAGATGACACGATACCTGGGACTGTTTTCAAAGGTGAGGGTGTATGTAGATGGAACAAGACTGAAGATGTGTGATGGGGGTTGATTTCTAACTTTTGTATCATTTGGAAACATCTGAACAGTTAAGCTATAAACCCAAAATATGTACCACATAAAATGGGTGTTTATACAAGTTTCTGATGAATGTCCATGTTTACTATGAAATCAAGTACCTGGCCCACATGGAAACAAATGATTAAAAATAAGAAGAAGAAGAAAAAAAAATCCATTGAGATGGATGAACCCCAAATTAGCAAATCAAACCAAGCTGAACAGTGCTGACTTGTTGATATAAATGTGAACACTGCTCCCTATTTCCCCAATCTTGAGCTCACACCCCCACCCTCAAGACACCTCCTATGGAGCAGTCTGGGGACAGCTGGATGTTTCCAATGGATTGTAACTGACCGGGCTGTGAGGGTGAAGAGAAGTAAGCAAATTTTCGCTTACCAAGGTTTGATTCTTATTTTCAGAAGCTCTAAAGTGTGGCTCTGTTAAAGAAAAGTTACTTCGTAAAAATGACACCTCACTGCTACACACAAAGTCTATTTTCATCAGCTATAGTTCTTAAAAGGCTTTTAGATTTCCGTGCTGGGGATCCAAATGAAATCTATTTGAAAACGTCTCCCTCCTCCTCCAGCCATGGTTACCAGAGAGGAGTATGTTATTAAAATTTTTCAAAAAACACAACTTGAGATGGTTTTTGCTTTCCTTCTGATGAAAAAAAAAAAGAGAGAAATAAAAGGGGATAGAGGAATAAACTTTTAGAGGAGTACTTAGTTGATAACTAACAGGTACTTGATATGAACATGCTTACAATGTTCTTGTCTCACAGATGAAGCACAGATGTAAATAACGACTGGCCTCTGATGATGTCTCTCTCCTTCTAGAAATTGGCAAAAAGTCACTTCATCACTATGGCAGTGCTAATTATGTCACAATACATTCTTTCATGGCATGTGTCTGTCCATTACTTATATATGACATTAAAAGCTGACATTCAGTAGCACTCAACATTTTAAAATATTGCAACGAGGGGGAGCTAGCATTAACTTGCAAGACAATAGATTCTTCTGCAGTCATTTCCACTGGGGGAGAAGAGAGCGGGCAGGCCAGCGGCTTTCATACGATAAACTGGCAACTTTTAAGGTCAAAACTGGCTATCGCTCCCGCTCATTAAATCTGAAGCTCTTGAAAAGTGTCATTTTGACAAAGTGACTTTTTAAATACTAATATTTAAAATAGTATGCCTTTCTTATGTAAATGAGGACATAACTTGACCATGAGAAGATCAAACGGAGTCATGCCGAAATGTCAATGCATATGATCACCAAGACCCCAGAAACCCAGAAATGCCCTATTGAGGCAAGCATGGATTTTGAAAGCTGCTGATTTTGCAGTCAGTAATTATAAATTCAGATATACTAGTGGAAATATTTTTGAAGCATTTTTAATATGAAGTTAATGATTCTTGGTTTCTAAAAAAACCAGTTATTTAAACAGCAAAACTTCGGGAAGTCATTATTATCAGTTAACTCTTGACTAACTAAAGCCATATGCTAGGGAAATCCATGATCCGAGTTTGATAAAATGTGGATGCCTCATTTCTGACCCTCGTAAAGTGAAGCCTGAGAATATAATTACCATGAAGTAGTAAATAATTTAGCAGTATTTATGAGGGCGGGGATTAAAGAGGGAGTTTTTCTGAAACGCTGATTAACATTTCAAGTATAACTTCACAAAGTCTCTTTCCATGTGGTTCATTTTTGTGTGTATGACGGTGGTTGCCTGTGAACTGTGCCCATTAAAGCAAGTCTGGTCCTATGGGCATGTTCTGTCCTGAGCTGGAACAGTTCTTGGCAAATGTACCACCGAAATTTGAAAAGATGTAAACACACACACACACACAAGCACCTGAAGCTATTAAGAAATACATTTGACGTCTTTGAAATAAAAAAGAATTAGCTCAAACAAGCTTCCTTTTTTATGGCACAAATTTTCATTAGTGTGTTACTGGGATGAAAAGGAAAAAAAAATTGGGAGGAGAAACTGAAAAAGTTAGGTTCAAGGCAACCCCATGTGATTGTAGACAACCTCAAAAGAGAAGAGACTGTGGTGGGGGTTGGGTGGGTGTTGATCTAAGTTGGTTGACAAGATGATGCCCAATACATTGAAGTCCAGTACAGATATATGGCATAATTACAGCTTGCTCAATAATTTTTTCACAATAGCCACAAGGTACAGGTGGTAAGCACTTCAAAGTAAAAGTCTGACAGAAATAAAGTGACTCCATAGGAGGCCAGTGGTTACTCCTGTCAGGAACAAAACGGGCTATGACTTTTGGGGTTTTTGCCTTGGTATTGATGGGTGGGGAGAAAAAGCACTAACTATTAGACATGTTTTGACTCATATTTTTCTTTTGTACAAAAGGTGAAATTCAAAATATTTTCAGAAAAAATCAACAACCATTGTTTCTATTTATCTTCCTCACACTGGGAATTCCATTTCTCAAAGGGGTTTATACTCAAAACCCTAACAGTCACATGACAGCATGTCTGGTGGGTCTGGCTGAGGGGGCAAAGGAGGGGAAGACTTCTCTGATCCATATTCCTTACTGACCACCTTGTCCCTACATGGATCCTGGGAATTACTGAGACCCTAGGAACAGCACTTTCCAGATGAGTGCAATCCAGGGTCTCTGCATTAGGTACTAAGTTACAGACTTTGTAACCACAGAGAACAATACTAGGAAGTACTACAGTACAAGCAATTATTCACATTCCAAAAGGCTGCTCGGAATGACAAAGCAAAATACTACAATGAAATGTGCAAGGAGCTAGAGTCGGAAAATCAAAAGGGCCGAACTCGCTCAGCATTTCTTAAGCTCAGGGAACTGAAGAACAAATTCAAACCTCGAGTTGCTATAATCAAGGATGCTTTGGGCA